CATATTTCATAATATTTCCACAATGTCTCTAATTTTTACAATATTTCCCCTCGACATTTCCGACATATGTCCTATATTTTGGTAAGCGACATTTCTATCGACATCGACATTTTAAACCTTGGTTCATGCATGCTCCTAAGATCACACACTTAGAGGCAGCAGAAAGAATACTCAGATACCTAAAGAGGTTTCCTGGAACTGGTTTATTATACCAGAAGAATGGTCATTTGAAGATTGAAGTATATACAGATGTTGATTGGACTGGATCAATTGATGACAGAAAGTCTACAAGTGGGTATTGTTCCTTTGTGGGAGGAAACCTAGTCACATGGAGAAGCAAAAAACAAAATGTGGTGGCTAGGTCTAGTGCAGAAGCTGAATATAGAGCAATGTCCCATGGGGTGGCTGAAGACATGTGGATAAAGAATTTGTTGAACGAACTGGGTTTTCCTGTTGATGGCCCTATGTCCTTGTATTGTGATAACAAAGCTTCCATCAATATTGCAGCCAACCCAGTTCCTCATGATAGAACTAAGCATATAGAGGTTGACAAACACTTCATTAAAGAGAAAATTGTTAATGGGGAAGTGTGCACCCCATATGTGAGTTCCAAAGAGCAACTGGCAGATATATTTACAAAAGGCTTACATCACTTGTGGCACGATGATTTATGTGACAAGTTGGGCATGATTGACATCTACGTCCCAACTTGAGGAGGAGTGTTGAATAACTTAATTTATTTTTTAAGTTTAGTGCCGCAAGGGCACCTTTGTAATTTCCCTTTTCTTTTTTTCTATATGGTCGCCCTAGTATAAATACTAAATAAACTGGCACCGCCAGTTGACATTTTGCCTCTCTCAATTCTGTTTCTCTTTTCTCTTTTCTCTCTTCTCTCTTCTCTCTTCCCCTTCTTCTCTTCTCTCTATTCTGGAACCATACCATCTCAACACCAAGAAAACAGAAATAATAGAATTTTCAATGAAAAGAGCAGATTAAAAGAAGAACTATTTGAAGCTATCCTACTCCGAGCTGCACATTAGGTAAAAACTTTGGAGGCTTACAGAATCTTTTCAACCAATGATATTATCAGATCCTGGCCTGGAGTTGCACAAGCTGGATGCCACCCTGAAGAGGTAAGACAGGATTGGAAGCCACCAACTGAAAGTAATCTAAAACTGAACTTTGATGATAGCTCCTTGGGTAACCCAGGAAGAGCTGGTATTGAGGGAGTGATTAGAAACCACCAAGGCCTGGTGGTTGTGATGTATTCAGGTCCAGCAGGAATAGAAGATTCAGTCATCGCAGAAACCATAGCGCTGCTACAACTTACAAGGGTTGAGATTAGCACAAACAGCATGGCCTCAGAAATTTGAAAGTTGAAGGTGATTCACAGTTAGTAATTCATTGGGCAAAGCACCTCAAAGAAGAACCATGGAAATACAGACATGCATTTATGGAGATTGATGTGATTGCTAAGAATTTGAATACAAGCTTCAGCTGGGTGAGAGGAACTGCAAACGGGGTAGCAGATACATTATCTAAACAGGGAGTAAATAGGCAAAGTATTTTCCGGGCATACTTGTAAATGGGTACTGATGGGTTTTGGATTTTGCCAACAGTTGTATTAAGTTTAAATCTTTAGTTATAAATGAAATCCTTTTGCTAATCAAAAAAAGGGGGGAAAACAGGGCAAGAATGTTCTGGGGATATCAACTGAACATTGTAGAGTGAAGGGTGTATGGGGGATAGCAGTTGCTACCAGGGCACATAATATTTTATTATTGTAATTTCATCATTCTTCTATTCTTTTAATGAAGTTACGGTTAACTATAAAAAAGAAACATTTTTTAACCAGGAAAACTGGCCCTTCTAGTGAAGAAAGCAAGATCATCATGCCACAAGAGCATAATCCCAATCCAATTTACTGAACTATAAATCATTCTATGAAATTGCAGGTTTGGACTGGGCCCAAGGGCTCACCTTTAGGCTGTGTTTGGTTTGAAAAAAAGGTAGGGAAATGAAGGGAAAGGTAGGGAAACCTATACAAGGTTTGTACAGGTTTCCCTACCTTTTCTTTCAACCCAAACACAGCCTTATGGAATCCTTAACCTGCAGCCATCAATCCCTAATTTCCCTCAATAAGAAGTGCAGTTGTTCCAATGCTAAACCAACAAAGGGATGCCAAAATTAACAAAATGCAAAAATAATATTAATTGTTCCATGATATTATGATTAGTTAGTACATGAACCAGCAGAAGTTATATAAGCTTTAGTTAAGTAAGGAAAGTTTGTTTAAGAAAAATAAAACCAAGAACTTTCTACATCATGATATGGACTATGGGTTGGAAAGATATTACTAGAAGGCCTTACTTCATGGGTACGTGCATCTGATACCACTGAAATTACAGCAGCACATGTTGCACGCATAATTCTGCAATAAGAATGTAATAAGGCATGTGGCGATGTTCGATCAAGCCTCAAAAGATATATGCAAGAAAACACAGTTTGAGCCAATGAATGACCCTTGTGCCATGTCGCCTGCCATATAAAATGAATTTAAGATAGAGGAACTTCAAGAAATAGGTAAGAACAATCACAGAAGAATATTACTAATAATACCTCACAAGCTAAAAAGTGATCCATGATATCAATAGTGCACTGAACATCAACTGTCCTATCAAAACTAAGAGGAATTGGTGCAGCACCATCCTCAATAGCTTCCTCAATAGAATGATATCCAGAATGTTCAATACCAGAATCCATCTTTGGGTCCATTATCTAACAAGTTATGCAAAAGAATTAGACAAGAATAGCAATAAAAAAATTAAAATATATATAATAAAAGAAACATGGAATTCTTTTTGAAGTAAGCAGTTAACCTTCATCATAGATGACAATATGAACTATGAAGCTATACAAACCTTTAACAATCATGATACTTGGCATTACTAGTAAACAACCTGTTACAAGCTTAAACGGATGCAAGTGGAGAAATAGACTTGAAATGGATCTATCAAGTCGCAGAGGATACTCATGAATATAAAGGGTTAGTGTCACGTTATTCAAATATGGACTATTCAGGCATCATGTAAATATGGTATCACATAGACATATTAAGCATCATAACCACAACTACAAAAGAATTCCTAATTTCAAGGGAAATATCCCCAATAAAATTCCCTAACAACACAAATATCAGAATCAGAAGCTACCTATCTCAAATATAAATTGAAACTTTCCCTAGCTGCCCAATTAAAAACCTAAAGTTACCAATTTTTTTTCCATCACTAAAAAAAAGAATCTAGTGACAAATCCTTCTTGAATCATAGAATTATCCTATCAAAGGAAGCTATATTATCTTAGTAAGGCTCCTTAAAGTCCCCAAAAAGAAGCAGCCACATTTTTTCTAACCTGGGAGCAACAGGAATCCCCTATAGAAGAAAATGTCTAACAAATATACCCCAAAAAAAAATAAAAAGATTTGCCATTGGGTTTTTTTTCAGTAACAGAAACATTTCATTAATTATCTTGAAGAAAGTTACAATCCAGTCCCACAGAGTGGCCCCAAATTTTTAAGTTACATCACAGCCCAGAATAGTTATTCCCTGTTGACCCCTTGCTTGGCTAACAGTCCACCAAGCTATTTGCAGATCTATTGACCCATGAAAAAGTGGCAACCACTTTTCTAGCAATGAATCTGATTTCCCTTATCACTTGCCTATGAGACCACACCCCTTGATTTCCAGTTTGCTTCCATGAGATCACCAGCTTGGAATCTCCTTCTACCTCCACCTGTCTGAGTCCCAGTTGCTTAACTAATCTCATACCATACAGCAACACCATAATTTCTGCATACAGAGAGTCTCCAGCCCCTAAGGGTCCCAAGAACAAAGCCATAACCGCACCATCCCTGATTGCTCCTCCAAATCCAGAGGGCCTTGGATTCCCTTGAGAGCTTCCATCAAAGTTGAACTTCACCCTATTATTGCTTGGGGGCCTCCAAATTACTAATACATGGTTTGACGGTGATGACAGCGCTGCAATTGCTCCCTAACCCCTTAGGATGTCATCCACCCTGTACTCCTTGAAGATCTTCATTGTTTTTACCCAATACACAACTTTCAAGCTAATATTTTCTATGATTGCCTCCTTGGTTCTTCTGAGTTCTTTGAAGATTCTGTTGTTCCTCTCCTTCCAAATAGTCCAAAGTATTGCAGCTCGAGTGGCTGCCCACATAATTCTAGGCTGCCATTGGAGAAAATTTTCACCCCCAAGCGTTGTTCTTCATCTCCTTCTGATCTTTGTGGTTTTGGACGCACTTATTTAGTCCGCAATCTGCCTAGGTGCTTTGCTTCACAAAATGTGCATGGTACACCCTTTCTCATATAAATTGCACTTCTCTGTCCAAGATACGACTAGTCTCAAGACTCTTACTTCCAAATGCCATCACCCTACCAGTTCGGTCTCTAAAAACACCTCATATAGCTGCTGGCCCTAGGTTACTCAAGGAGCTTCCGTCGAAACTCAGCTTTCACTTTAGAGGATTGTGCCACTTCAACCCATTTCCTTATTATATTGTTCACTAAGAGAGAGTGAAAATATTCTAGTGTTTTCACCCAAGGTGCCACCTTGATTTTTATATTCTCGAGGATTTCATCCATATACCTTCTTTTCTCATTGGATGCTCTCTCATTCCTCTCTTCCCATACAGTCCACACCACTACTGCCCTAATCCCCCCCCCCCTAATCCTCCCTCTCTATTTTGGTTGCCTTAGGAAACTCGAGATGTAAATCAGTCCTCTAAAACTGATGTAAACTTACAAAAATTAGAGAGAAAAGAGAAAGAAAAGAAGAGAACAGCAGCACAAAAGAAAGAAGATGGAGAAAAGAAGAGGAAAAAGAAGAAGAGTTCGAATGTCACTTCCCTCCCTTCTCTAATCCTTTTACTAAACTTCAATCTTAGCATAATTATAAATATACCCTTAAGTGGGCGGCCAACTAGGCAGTAACATAAAGAAAACTAGCAAAAAGAAATAACAGGCCCATTAAGATGCCCATTAAGATAGGCCCATTAGCTAACAGATAAATAAAAAACATACTACAAGAAAAGATACTAGGGCCCATTCGGCCCAGTCTCTTTACACTCCCCCTCAAGCTGAGCATAGATGTCAATCATGCCCAGCTTGCTTATATAGTGTGCCAGCTTCCCTCTCAAAACTCCCTTGGTCAAAATATCAGCCAACTGTTCTTCTAAGGTGATGAACGGCAAACAAACTTCTCCTGAGGAAACTCTTTCTTGTATAAAATGTCTATCAACCTCAATGTGCTTAGTTCTATCATGTTGAACAGGATTATGTGCAATATTGATAGTTGCTTGGTTGTCACAATAGAGCATCATTGGTCTCTCATAGTCAACTCCCAATTCTTCTAAAAGGGATCGTAGCCACAATAATTCTGACACACCATGTGCCATTGCCTTGTATTCTACTTTAGCAGAGGATCTGGAAACTACAGATTGTTTCTTACTCCTCCATGAAACAATGTTCCCTGCCACCAAAGCACAATAACCCAAGGTGGATCTCCTATCATCAATACATCCTGCCCAATCAACATCAGTGTATGCTTCCAGCCTCTGTAGTAGCTAAATGAGTATTTCTAGGAGAATGCATAAATTGACTAATAACACTCATTGCATGGGAAATGTCTGGCCAAGTCATGCAGAGATAATAACAACTTCCCAAGCAGTCTCTTACACTCCCCTATTGGATAAAAGTTCACCATTTGTAGCAGAAAGCTTATGATTGGGATCAATAAGAGTGGAGGTTGGTTTAGCACCAAGTTTACCAGTCTCAACAAGGAGGTCAATGACATATTTGCACTGAGAAATGAAGATACCATCCTTAGATCTAGCAACTTCAATGCCCAAAAAATATCGGAGATCTCCTAAGTCCTTGGTCTCAAATTCAGAGTTAAGAAATCTTTTGAGTTTACTGACCTCTTGGGTATCATTACCCATGACCACAATATCACCAACATAAACTATCAGAAAGGTCACCAGAGAGCCACTTCTTTTCAAGAACAAGGTATTGATCAGATTGAATTTGTGTGTAACCAAATGAGACAAGAGCAGCCCTGGACCTCTCAAACCAAGCCCGAGGAGACTATTTGAGACCATAAATGGATTTAGTAGTCGCTCAAGATTGAACAGACACTTAAAAGGAGAAAAAAAAAATAAGGAGAAAAGAGAGAGAGAGAGATTTTGATAAAAGAGAGTTGGGTTGATATGTTTAAACAGCCGCCCCCCTCTTAAATTTATATTCATAGTATCATACTTGTAAAAGGACTAAATTGCTTACATGGCAAGATAAGATAAGATAAAGCTGAAAAAAGACTAATCCTAATCTTATAAAAGACTAGTCTTAATCTTATAAAAGACTAGTCCTAATCTTATCATAAAGAACTAATCCTAATCATAACTTATTGCTGGCATACGAACAGTGGGACCACCTTAGTGGGGTCCACATTAGTGTTCTCTACACTCCCCCTCAAGTTGAGAATAGATCTTTGTCATTCCCAACTTACATAGATCTGCTTCTAACTTCTTCCTTGAAACCGCATTGGTGAGAAGGTCTGCCAGCTGCATGTTAGAGATGATGTATGGAAGACATACTTTTTGAGATGTAACCCTTTCTCTGATAAAATGTCGATCCACTTCAATATGCTTAGTCTTGTCGTGTTGTATCGGATTATGGACTATATTGATGGCAGCTTGATTATCACAGTACAACATCAAGGGTTTCTCATAAACAATACCTAACTCCTCAAATAATGATCTCAACCATAGGACCTCAGCTACACCATTTGCCATGGACCTATATTCAGTTTCAGCACTGGAACGAGAAACAACATTTTGTTTCTTACTCCTCCAAGAGACAAGGTTACCTCCTACAAAAGCGCAATATCCAGAGGTAGATCTTCGATTATCAACACACCCAGCCCAATCAGCATCTGTGAAAACTTCTATCTTCATGTGATCATTATTCTTGAATAAAATGCCTCTGCCTGGGCACCTCTTCAAATATGCTAGTATCCTCTCAACTACAAGGAGGTGAGTAGTCCTAGGAGAGTGCATATACTGACTAACCACACTGACTGCATAACTGATGTCGGGTCGAGTGAGACAAAGATAGAGAAGTTTTCCATGTAACCGTTGGAACATAGCTTTATCTTTAAGGGGTTCTCCACCCTCTGCACTGATCTTGTGATTTTGTTCAATGGGTGTGTCAGCAGGCTTAACACCCAACTTTCTTGTTTCTTCCAACAGGTCGAGAACATACTTTCTTTGAGAAACAAAAATCCCATGCTTGGATCTGGCTACCTCAATGCCCAAGAAGTATGGTAGTTCTCCCAAATCTTTTACCTCAAACTCTTGATGAAGGAGTTGCTTAAAGGAACTCAATCTCAGTATTATCATTTCATGTTACTACAATATCATCCACATATATAGCAAGCAAGGTTAAGGAAGAATCCACTCTCTTAATAAACAAGGTGCGGTCTGACTGGGCCTGTACATATCCGAACCTTTCAATGACTTGTCTAAATCTATCAAACCAAGCTCTGGGGGACTGTTTTAATCCATACAAGCTTTATTCAACCGACAAACCTTCTTTCCTGTCTCTGTACCATAAAATCCAAGAGGCAACTACATATAAACCTCTTCTTGCAAGTCTCCGTTGAGGAAGGCATTTTTAACATCCATCTGATACAACGGCCAAGAG